AGACACGGTGACCTAGTAGAAGAGTGGTACTTGATCCAATGACTTCATTGAATGTACCCCCGGCACTGGACACTTTAGTTCACTGATAAGTATGCCAAAACAGACATGATGATCTTGTACCGTATGAGTCTGTTGTTCCTCTACGTTGCAAGTTAAGGCCATGTAAGCCGTGCTGAAGGATGAACTTGATTCTTGAATGTATCAGAAGTTGAACTTCGTCTGACTTCATTCAAGGCATCGGCGCTGAAGGAATGGCTTTTCATAATAATATTTACAGTATAAAGATTGTAAATTGTGTGCCCCATGGCTGAGTTGGTTACAGCGTCCGACTGTTATTGTGACATCGGAAGGTCGAGAGTTCGAGCCTCTCTGGGGCAGGTTAAAAGTACAGCGGTACGTTCATCTGCTTTTGTTTCGGTTTAGCTTGTTTATTAGGAATAGGGCTGCGCACGAAACCTCCAGAGGGGGGGGGAGTTTGATACCTTTTTGTACCCACCCTACCTGGGAGGTTTCTTACCGATACGGTAATTTACCGTTTCTTACCATTCACGGGACTGCCCTGGAGCCATTTTTTCCAAATTCTTCTGTACGACGCCGTGACGCCACGCTGCCCCATTGTCATACCTCAAATACTCATGAATTCTGTCCCAATACCCATCAGAACTCTCTGGCTCCATCTTCTTACTTCTTACTGCTCTGCAAAGTGAACTCACGAAAAAAAATTGGTGGTAATATTGTGACATGGTCGGTAAGTTACCTCAATGAAATATGCTCCACTGACCTATGGTTTCTTACCAGTAACTTACCGGTCCAAAACTGGGGTGTATCAAAACTGGGGGTTTCGTGCGCAACCCTAGTTCAAACTTCAGCAGCGACCGTCCCTCCCAGAAAGGGGTGTTTTACCTTCGAGGTTCTTTACTAGGTGCGTGAAGCAGCACGCAGGTGCCTGGAAGCTAGTAGAGAAACACCCTCGGGATTCAACGTCAGAGTCCCAGAAGTCCCGCGATGAATATATGACCATCCTCGCATGAATGCACCCTTTCACCACACAATCGGCTCGGGCTGGCAGTGATCGCCATGGCTTTGGCACGATCCCACGGCTCCCAGTTCCACAACTTCCGAAGCGACGATCCTCAGCTTCCTGCTGTCTTGATATCTCGGCAACTCCACACCAGCGACACGACTCGGACACTGCACCACACTCACTTTTCAGCCAGTGATGGTGCGACTTGAACGACGGGACAATGGCAGTGAGTTTATCGACGATGCCCAGCAGGACGACATCTTTTATGCCGCGTTCGTGTTGGAATCACGGGGTTATTCTCAATCCAAGTGAGTTGATACGTGGGTGTTGTGCTTCGCGCGTCCTTGACCCGACATGCAGGAATTATCAATACTTTGATATCGCCAACTGCGGGGGCCTCTGGCAGCAATAGACCCATGGATCCCACATTCGCCCCCCAGGAGTGCCGACACCTCGTCCAATATCGCAACGTTCCAGATGGACTAGCGGTATTTCGTCTAGATGATGATGATACTACACATTCGGTAAGCCATACACGTTAAACGTGGAGTGGGGTCTTTCTCATCTTGGTGGACGCACGACCGATACTCTTGAACAGCTACTTCGTTGGAACACCTGGCTTCGCCGAAGACACAAGTAGCTAGGCTTTCGTATCGTTATCTTCTCGATTCCACTTCTCAATGAACTGTCTGTGTAAGTCCTCCCAACCTATCCCGTGGCCCACAATCGAACGAATTCAGGAGGGCCTCAAAATATCGATCGTGGAAGTCGCTACCGCCTCCGAGTTTGCCTAGGCAGGCATTCTAGGACGTCATGGCTGTCCTTGTTACGCTGCACGTTAGTGAAATGACATATGCCTTGTGGCCATTTTCGCATTCTGTGGGTGGGATTTCCTGGTTCAGACTTCTCAGAATATTCCCGCCGAACAGGGCTTTTTACCCTCGTGATATGCCCTGTTATGAATATGACCGTAGGACTGGACTTCCAGCGCTAGCAGAGAAACGAGATCGTCGTCGTTCCTGTGACCACCATGCTTGCATTTTCCCAGCTACACTTAACTATGCCTGGAGCCCCAGATGGGTTTCGTACGTCGCTACTGTGATTCATTGACTCGATCCTCAACGTCAAGTTTGATACAAGCATTGGTTCGTGAAATGACTCCAGACGCACTGGCAGAATTCGCGGACGTGCTACCTTGCCTCGTCCCTCCTGTCCATCTCCGTGGATACACAGGAGTTTTGAAAACACTCGAGAGCTTGCGATGATGCGCAATCTCGGACTGCGTAGGCGTGTATTATGGTCGAGATCTATATTTTCACAGATTCGGCGAAGGATTCTCGTGAAAAAGTCAACTTGGGCTGTCCTGGGTACTAGACTGGTTCTCCTTGGACTGTCCATGTCATGGCGTAAACATATTCTTTCACAATAAACTTGAATGTCATTCGCTCCAGAAAAGTGACATCATCAGATACGGTTGATGTGAAGAATACAACCCCACTCCACACTCTTTGCCGAAAGATGAAAAGTGCTTCAGCATTTACAAAGCTCTTGTCAATTAAAGAAGCACGCTCACTTTATATCGTCGTTCTACGACGTCATTACATGTCATGCTGTTTTTGTTGTGCTTTGACTTTGGCTGCTAGTTAATCTAATTCCGGTGCGCTATGACGATACAAACTTGAACATCAATATCCAAGCTCGCCGAGGGAAAAGTACGATGGTCGACATATGAGGCACTTCCATGGCTACAAGCACAGCGGGATGCATTTCTAATCAAGGCATATATATTCAATGGATCTCCCTAGCTACTTGTAGGTACATAAACATAGGACGTCCAGTCGGACAGGTAAGTATTAGATAGATATAAAGCTACAATTGTGTGAGGCGTAGGGCAGCGTAATAAGAATACAGGTATGTTGAAAAAGCGGGTATGCATGCAGTTGGTGGATGCATATGAGTAGTACAACGACCAGCGCTAGAAGGGAAGGGTAAGCAACTGAGATTAGCCCAAAGCAGAAGGGACGTACCAGAGTCTATGACCGGTGGAAGAAACCCCTTATGCTCATCTTTGACTTTTTCGGGGTGTGGGCGTGGGATGGGATGGGACGGGCGGATACGGGAATGGGAGGGAGCGGGCCAGTCGGGGGCATGAATGACTGCTCGAGGAACTCTTTCCTGGCGAGGTTGAGCGGTGTGGGACGCTTCTTCTTGCCGTCGGCAGTGAGGATGGGCTGCAGAGTCATCGGTGCGAGTTTGACTTTCTATAACGCGGTAATCAGCATGCATACGGGAATACAGGAAGGAAGGAAACGAACCTGAGCGTCAAGCGACTCTGCCCGGAACTTGACCCACTGGGAAGGCGCCTCCTCGCCTTCAGAGTCGGACGAGTCCGAAGCATCGGGGTCGTCCTTCTGGAGGAGCCATTGGTACTCGATCTGCTCGTCGCGGTCCCACCAGACGCGGCCGGAGGCGTCGCGGTAGACATCGGCGCGGGTGCCGACGGGGAGGTTGCCCTGCTGCTTCGTCTGCGCGTCCATGACGCGGGTGATATGCGTGCTCATCTTCCCTCCGCCCGCGAACTGCATGAGCATCAGCTCGTTCATGAGCGTCGGCGGCAGCTGCTTCTTCGACTTTGCAGGTACAGACATCGATGTGGAGCGTGAGCGTGCACGAGAAAGCGAGAAGGGGTTGGTCTTCGCTTGGTGAGAGGAGGCATCCTCGATTTCGCATTTATGGGAGGGAGGGTAATTGTGATTTCTGGGCTTATTGTCTTTCTTATTGTTGCGGGTGTGATTAGGCTTATTGTTTAGGTGTGACGGCGTGGACGGCGTTTTGGGCAGGTGCACGAAGACGGATGTGTACCCGAGATTGGTCAGGTCGAATTGGGCGTAGTGGGCTGATGTCGGGGTGTACACTGATTTGGACGTGCGGGGTGTGGATGGGAAGGTGCCGGCGAAGGCGTTGGCGCTGCGCGGGGAGAGCGGCGCGGGTGACCCGGGGTGCACTGCGGAGGCCCAGGTGGTGATGCTGGCGGTGAAGGAGGAGACGGTCGAGGATCGTGGGCGGGACATGATGGTCGTGGGGTATGTGGAATAAGTAAGTATGGGTATGCTGGGTATGTCTAGGTCTGCGCGTCCTCGTCAGTATCGTCTACAAGCCGGGAAGGGCGCTGCTCACCGTTAAGAATACTGGAAGGAGACTAGCTCGCTATGCCCCTCCTCGTCGTCCCCGGCTAGTCTTATACTCTACGCAGACAAAAACACGCGCACAATAACCGGGCTCCAGACAAACAGCCAAACAACGCCCCTTCAACACCTGCCATTCTCGGATCCTCGTTCTGGAAACCAGGAAAAAAAACAAAGACAATAATTGGGGTGGAACAATAGCTGGGCCGCTTGAGCTCCGCCTGTTCATTGTTTTTTCGCGTATCCCTTCTTCCGGGAGTGACAGGTTTTTGCCGGCCTTCGGGGTGGGGCATACGGTTTTTTGGCGTGTTAATTGTCGTTGAGCTGATGGTTGTGCGAGTGCGTTCGAAGGATTGTGGGTGTGGGCAGGTCTATTATCCTGGGATGTCGCGGAGTAGCGAACCGTCGTCGTCGCGCTTCGGCGGCCAGACTGTTGATCTCTTGCGCTTTGACTCCGCACTTCCCCGCAATTGTTTCACTTTGCTTCCGTGGGAGCAGATTATGCGCTTTGTGAGGAAGGCATTGTAGACGGGGATGAAAGTTGCCCCTTTGGTCTTCGAAGTATTCTGATGCTGCTTAGGCCTAAGCTGGCTGTTTGCTCCCCTGGCCATGATGGTCATTGCTTTTTACTTCCGCGGATGTATAGACCAGCGATCGCATACGGGATTTTCTGGTCCAAATTCGACACAACATGTAGCTTGCAACCACTCCTTCGCAGCTCTCCGGAACTGCATATCGATTTCTTTTCTCGCTGGAGACATACCATCCACAGGGCCTAATTGGAACGTCGTTGCCCCATGGCTGAGTTGGTTACAGCGTCCGACTGTTATATTTGTATCACATCAAATTGTGGAAAATTCGTTTCATCGGAAGGTCGAGAGTTCGAGCCTCTCTGGGGCAGCATGACGAGGATTACTAGAGCTTTTTGTAAAGGTATACAAAATTACAAATACATACCTTGGATTCACTGATTATATTGTAGTGATTTTTTTTAAAATGATACAAATATGCTGGGAAGTTTTTGTAAATGTTTAATGCCGTGCGCCAGGTGTGTGATGATACATGCCAATGACCGTCGCTTATCATAACACCCCGCGTTATGGAGAAACCCTCCTCCCCCGGGAGGTTTTGTGCCCGTGAGTCATGCCTTGCCTAGGATTATTACGTCTCAGGCTCCTAGGTGAAGTTTTGTCTGATTCAAAGAAGTTAAAACAACACAATTTTCCTCATATGTATGTGTAGCCGTTGATCGTATGATCGTGAGCGATTTGGCCGGAACCATACGGGGGAGTCTTCGTTGCAATGCCCGTCGGCGTGCGGTAGAGATAATCCTGGATGAACGAAGACAATTGAGCACTGGAAGGTTGAATCCAGCAGCTTCGATGTGTATGGAGCATTGTCGAAGACTTTGGAGGGATTTATAGTATCAGAACCTGCGAGATCGTACTAAAGCCTGTAGGGATGCCCACCATACCAGTATACGGGTACAGTTGTAAATTTTATGGGCACTTTTTTACGGTACGGGTGTCCTGTAATCGTACTGTAGTAGTCTTGCCAGGACTCGACAGGGCGGTACGGTCGTAAACCGGTAATAAAGGTGTTACGGGAGACTGTCTGGTATGATTACCGTACTCTGTGAGGTATAATCAGTGCACACGCCTCCAAAAACAGAACATTTACGTTTTAGTCATAATGAATGTGCATGTTCAGAATTACAGCAGAATCTCCAAGTAGTATCGTTTCCGATGACCAAATGGCAGCTATTATACGCTGTAAGGTCGCTTACCGGAGATAAAGGCGGGTGTGCGGTGCAGCACCTAGGTCTATGTCCGACTACTAGGAACCTGACTGATAATTCCAGATTCTATGAAGGTTAGAAGTAAATTCGAAGGGACTCATTTATACCTGAACAAAAGTTCGAATATGGTAAGCGATAGCTTGAAAGAAGGGAGGTGATATTTGGCCAGCAGAATGCAGTAAAGGCGGGCTCAGAACTAAGGTGGACGAAGCTCGCCTGAAACCGAGGCAGGAATCACACTGGGGGGGGGGAAAGTCAATATTCTTGAAGTACAAGCCTTCAGGAATTTATCGGATGGCATTGGTCACCAGGACAACTAGAAATCACATTATTAGGGACTAGCTTTCGTAGAAGTCATTGTAAAAATATAAACGACATCGACGGGATGATTCAATCCATGTGGTGAGGGAGGACCAGATAAAAAAGGGCCTTACTATACCGAGTTGATGATCATGGACGACTCGGAGTTATCATTGCAATGCCCGTCGGCGTGCGGTAGAGACGATCCTGGATGAACAAAGGCAATCGAGTACTGAAAGGTCAGGTTCAACGCATACAGATCATAGTCAGCGAATACTTTAAAAGATTCCTAGTGTCAGAACCCGCGGGATCGTACCAAAGCCTCACTGGTAAGTATGCCCACCGTACTGGTATACGGGTACAGTTGTAAAGTTTACGAGCACTTGACGGGTATGGGTGACCCTAGGCATGGTCGGATTCAGTGCAAACGCCTCCCAATCAATTTCCAAAACAGATTGTTCATGTTAATTACTTTTCAGAACGACATCTTGATATTGAAATACTCCGAATATGTATCAGATGGATGTGCATGTTCAAAATTACAGCAGAATCTGCAAGGAGTGTCGTTTCCGATGAGCAATGGAAGCTGTTATACAGCGTAAGGTTACGTACCCCGAGATAATCCACAAATGAATGATAGTTGGATCCTGTACTAAAGGTCAAAGGTAGAATTGAAAAGATTCATTTATACCTGAATAAAAGCTCGAACATGGTAAGCGATAGCGGCTTGAAAGCAGGGAGCCGATATCTGACCAGCAGAGCGCAGTAAAGGCAGGCTCAGAACGGAGGTGGGAGCTGAGGAAAAGTTTATATTCTTGAAGTACAACTTCCTTGGGGAGAATTTATCGGGCGGCATTGGGCAGCAAAAGTCGCATTATTCATTATAAATATTGGGGACCATATTTTGGAGAAGTCATTGGAAAAATGCAAACGAAGCAATCGACATCGACGGGATGAACATGGTGGTAGAGAACTGTGGGAAATTTAATATCAGTTCCCGTTCAGGCGTGCCCCTAACCCTATGCACGTACCACGTCCTTCGCGTTTCAGTAAAGACAACTTGCTTTGATCCAGCACCACAGCGACGCACGACCCCAAAAAGGCGGCATTCTTCTTGGTTTTTATGACGATCGTGCGGTTCGCTACTATTACTAGCTTCGTTGCACCCTATTCACGTCGAGAGTGCTTCGGCCTTGGCCGTTGGAGAGAAAAACTTCCTACTAGTACGGGATATGTGCAAGGCCTGCTCTTGCTTTGAACTCGAGTGTGAGAATGAAGTTTGGCTAGGTGCGTAGTTTCTTCGTTGTCATTCTGTAACTCATATCATGCGATTTTAGCACTTGACAGGGCATCATGAACTATTCGTTAGAGCCTCTATCGATTCTTGTCTTTTTAACCAGCATACTTCCGTTCTCCTTTGGATCTGGAATTGAACACACTCAATCCAAAAATATCGATTCGAGCTCGTTCTTTCCGGGCTGCTGCCGCTCCATTGACAGTTCATTGATTCGTTCCTCCCATGAGCATGCACTGCGATTGACTTTGGGGGACTGTGGACCTCCAAGGATTTAATGTGTATCTAGCCTGAAAACACTCACCTGAAAAAATGCGGCCCGAAAGACTGGTAGAACTTTGTTGTGTCTTTGACTGTGTGATTTGGCGGCATAAAGACCCTTGCAAAGACGGCGTGTTTTCTTTCTGGCTTTGTCTTTATGTTTGCGTCCATCTTTGCACCGTAAACACCTATGGAATTACCCAGCCATGTTCGTTGGCGAGGTTGTGTATTTCCATAGGTAAATTTGGCGTAAATTTGTACGTAAACATAAGTACAAAGGGAGAATGGAAGACATGCGGTGTTATGATAGGGATTTTGATGCCAGATACCCCTAGTCAACGGTGAAAAGTCCTGGCAGTCTTTGCGATGGTATGGTATGCAGGCTTTCTACACGACGGAAGACATCAAGATGTTTTCACCCCTTGAAAAAGGGACAGAATTGGTGGCCACCGCGCCATTGTCGTGTGATACCGACGGATCGGTTATTCGGTCCATGTAATTGCCACTATCACCCTAGATGCGACATCGCGTACACTCCGGCGACACCAACAGGCGCTGTCCATAAATGGCACCGTTCCCTTACCTCAAGGCCGTACATCGTACAAATTCGCCGTCTTTCAATATGAATACACTGGAATCAGCGCTCCCTCTTCACAGACAATTTTAGAAAGGATGTCGACGATGACTAGCATCTCGCAGGTTATATATAACATCCAAGTAAACTCTCTCCCTTTCTTTACCCTGGATGCCACTTTCTGATCCTTCTCGTTCATATAGTAAATCACGGTGTTCCGAGGCGCCTATTTGAAGCTTGACATGGTTTGGTTACAGCACGGACGGCACATCGGCTCTAGTCAAGGGTAAGGGTGTTGTCTCTCCCACGCATGCTCTCGACTCGTCTTTACCTGCGACCGTCATGTCCAACGGTGGCGTTCGCGGCGCAAAGCTCAGTAAACTCTTCAGTAGCACCCTAGAAGGCAAGGAATTAACCAGGACATCAGAAGGCATCCAGTTTCTGGAGGCTCTGTGCTTTCAACCAGACCCGACTGCTTGCATCGACAGGATTATTGCGAGCAAGGCTGGTCTCCGATCATTACAGGCCGCTTTCAGGTTTGATACTTCTCTAAAATTCTTAAATGGTCCTGCCACCGTCACTCTGCTGTATTTGCAAGCGCCCGAGATCGAGAGGATTAGCAGCGGTCAGTACCTCACAAAGGCGTTGCAGGCTATTGTTGAGCCTCCGATCTTCTGGACTCCATTCGTGGAGGCATTCAAAGCGAGACAGCTATCTGACGAGGGGCAGAAGTGCTTTGCGTGGGTTTTATTTCAACTTATTATCATCCCAAGCGACACCGTCTCGCCTTACGTATCCCTCGCCGAAGATCTATTAGACACCATCCTCAAATCTTCCCATCCAGACATACGCACTATCGCACAAAAAGTCAAAAAGGCCATTTCCGTTGCGTCCACCTCTTTGGTCCCCATCACTAAGGATGATATTGGTCCTGGCGGCAGACATGATAACGATTTCCCAGACTTTCGCGAGATCGCAATCCTTCCTACTGCGGACGAGCTCGCTTCTGCTGAGGCGCCCTTCCTTCGTCCGAGCTCAGATCTCGACGATCCTCGTACAGAGGAACATCGCGAAGCTTTGCATCTCGACAATCAGTTCAGACTGATGAGGGAAGACATGATTCACGAGATGCGGGAGGAGCTTCAAATCTCGCTGGGAAAGCAGAAAGGAAAGAAGCGTCGCGGTATCGTTGTGGAGGGCATGAAAATGCTAGATATCAGTTTGGGCGACGAAGATCGTCGGAACAAGTGGGCAGTCGTCTTCCAGTGCTCGACCGATCTTCCGCAGCTTCAAAAGTTCGATGGCCTGGCAAAGCGAAAGGCGTCGCTTCGGAACGAAAATGCCAAGTTGTTGAAGGATCAATCATTGGCTTGTCTTCTCGTTGACGAGACAGTGTTGGCATTTCCGTCGGTGCGTCGAGACGAAGGTCTGTTGGCGAAGAATCCTCCAGAGATTGTTCTGGAGTTCGAGGGAGAGATGTCAACTCAGAATTTCTTGCTGAAGATGAAGTCGGCGAAGGAGGTCAAGCTCATACAGATAGATGTCGCCCTTTTCTCTTATGAGCCGATTTTGACGGCTCTGAAGCGGATGAAGATACTCCCGCTCGCGCAGGAGTTACTGTTATGGAAAGATGGGAGCGAGTTGTCTCAACCATCGCAACCCTTTGCCCTAGAA